GAGAGGGAACGGCCTCAAGCTGCGCCAGGGCAGGGTTAGGTTGGATATTAGGGAAAACTCCTTCCCCCAAAGGGCTGTCAGGCCCTGGCCCAGGCTGCCCGGGGCGGGGGCTGAGTCCCCATCCCTGGGGGGATTTAAAAGCCGGGGAGATGTGGTGCTTGGGGACATGGTTTAGTGGTGGCCTTGGCAGTGCTGGGTTAACGGTTGGACTTGATGATATTAAGGGTCTTTTCCAACCTAAACAATTCCATGATTTTGTGATTCTATGATATGTTCCCGAGCTCTCAGGGGGTGGCTGATTATGCCAGGTTCGGTCAAGGCGTTCTTGTTCCCCAGCTCAGCCACACCCGAGTGCCTGGTATGGCCAAGGGGCGCTTAACCGCCGGACCCATTGCTCCAAGGCCAAGCCTTGACAGGGGTCTCTGTGATCGTAAAGGGGTCCAGAGGAGGTGGGGGTGATGCACCACCACATGCACGAGCTGCTGATGGGTGTTTAGTTCCCGGTGGAGGCCAACCCACCGTCATGTTTCTCTCCGTCTCTTCGGGGGCTTGAGCTTCACCCACAGCAGCAGATGCATGATCTGGCCAGTGGTGGGACAGGGCATGTGCTCCGCATTGTCAGTGCTGTTCCCCCAGGCTCTGCCACGTCCAGATTTTGTCTTGAGGCTGGCTGAGCCTGACCGGAGAGCACAGATGTTAACTGGACAGCCTGTGTGTCTGGGGCTGGGACTTTCTGCAGGTCTCCAGGCTTTGCTCTCACAGACCAGCCTACTCTCCATCCTTCAGCCTGCTCTCCAGCCTTCCACATCTTCTCCCCTCGAGAAAGCAGGTGTGAGCCCTGCACCCTCCCTTGCTGGTCGCTGCACGGTGGTGGCCATAGGGCCAGTCTTGGAGAGGTCAGCAGGTAGCAGGGCACTGGAGGATCCTTTTTAATCCAATTGAACTTTGACTTCATGTCCAGGCTTGGTCTTCCTCCCCGTGAGGCTGCTATGGTGTACAAGCATTCAGCCCTGTCCTGAGTCACTCCTGGGCACCATTTGCTGCGTGCAGAAGAGACTCTGAAAGCAGGAGCTCCGTGCTTTGCAAACCATCCCGGGGCTACCGTAGCGAATGTGTATGTGGGTTTAGGTCCCAGGCAAAACCCTCATCTGCTTGCCACCCCAGAAAGGCCCTGATGAGTCTTTGCTCACTGGTGGAGAAGGAATGGCCTCCACCGCTCCCTGGAATGAATCCTCCACATTGATGGGTTGCCGTCTCCTCACTGTCTGGTCTTCTCCTTTCTCCTTCAGGATTTTGGGCCTTTCCTTCCCAGTGTTTTTCCTCCTCAATCGTTGAGCTGCTCCCCATCTTCTTCTCAACACCCCAGCCTTGTCTACCAGGCCTGCTGTGTGACGGTGTGCTGTCTCAGTTGAGTTGGGGACCTTGGCTGCCTGTGTCCTCTGGAAAGTGAAGCGTCTGACCAAAAGGGGTATCTGCTGTGAGGTGAGATGAATCAGACCCCACATCCATTCAGCATGTTGTCTAACTCTTCACAGCCTTTAAAGGAAAAGCTGATGCTAAAGGCTCTGAAAGGGTCCAAGAGTCGGACACAGGGGAAACTTCTAGCAGCTTCTCACAGAAGCCACCCCTGTAGCCCCCTGCTACCAAAAGCTTGCCACGCAACCCCAATACACCTGGTGTTGGTAAGAGTCCTGTGCCCTTGGCGGGACGAACGCTGAATGCACGGGAATGTCTTGTGCACTGAATAAACCTCTCCAGTAGCCAACTGAATCGAGACAGAGACAATTATCAGGTTTGTGTGACAGTGTGAACAAGAAAGGTGTAAAGGCACATGTATGGTGATAGCGTCAGCTCTCTTAACGTCAGCAGTCAAGGACCGTTCCAAAGCACATGGGATAATAAGTGAAGGGGGAAACGATAAACAAAACCACAGAGGGACACAGACTGGACAGACAGGGGGTCCCGGAGATGACGCCAGAGACCCAAAGCCTCCAGTCACTAATGATGGGCCAACAGGATGCTCCAGGCACGGCTCTGGACAGGGACGACTTGGATTTTTCCCATCCACTGGGGTGGGAACGCTGTGTGTCCCGAGAACCAGCTCCTGGGGGGAACGGGCATGAGTGAGGCAAGTGAGGGGCTCTGCGCCGGCAGCTGGAGCAGGACCAGAGGTCACAGCCCGTGTGCCTGGCGCTGGGTGTTTGGGGTGAGTGTGTCTTGTGAGTGTGGGGTGCCCGTAGAGATGAGCGTGTGAGTGCGTGCCTCTGTTTGCTGGTGAGCACCAAGCTGGACCAGCCAGCGAGCAGGAGTCCCATGGGGCTGGTAGGAGGGTGCAGGATGCAGGGAGGGGTGCTGGAGGGACAGAGGGGCTGTGCTGGTGCTCAGGGGATGCAGGAGTGCCCTCGGCCGTTTGTACTTCTGTATTTATGAGTCCTGTTGGGTATCCGTGGGCGCTGTTGAAGGCAGCACCTTGCCCATGGCAGGCTGTGTGGCCAAGTCAGAGTGTGTGTGTGTCTGTTGTCTGTGGGACACCCACTCAGCTTCAGGGTTGAACCTGCAAATGGGAAAGCAGCAGGCACATCCAGTGTCCCGGGAGGGAGACCCCCAGGTCTTGGGGCATCCCCAGCTGGGCTCCAGCAGCCAGGTAGGAGAAATGCCCCAGGCCGGAGCTGCTGGAGAGCCCTCTTAGAAGAGGCCGGGGCCTCTTACAGCATACCTTAAAGAAATTCTGTTTTCTTCTTCCACAGCCATGGGTTCACAGGAGGACATGCTAGAGGATGATGGAAAGGCAGATGTTTCTAAAAACCTGCTGGCAGAAGCATGTGAGAAAGAAGGACTAGACCATGGCTACTGGCTCCCCAAACTGTCAGAGATACTGGGAGTCAAGTCCAGAGAAGCCCTGAAACACCTGCAATATGAAGACTACCTGAAGCTGGAGTGCAAAGTACAGTACCCCTGGGAAAAAAAGGCGCTCCGAAAACTCTTGAAACTAACAGACAGCAAAGCAACTTCTGAGGAGCTGCAGAAGGAGCGCTTGGAGATGACAAAGAAGAGACAAGAAGCGGCGAAGCTAGTCCTGAAGGAGCTGAAAGAAATGCACAACAGCCGCAGCCACAGCAAGGAGGCTATAAGACAGAAAGAGGAGGCTCTGTGGCAAGCCCTGGAGATTCCCAAAGAGTACTGGGCACCACCGGAGAAGTCGTTGATGGATGTGCTGGAGGGCATCCAGAAGCAGCTGGAGCAGCGGGAGTCGTCAGTGAGCAGGAGTGAGAACGTCTCCGACACGGAGGTCCTGAGGCGGGCGTCGGGGGGACTGGCCCTGCAGGGCATTTACAGAACAGGCAGCCTCGAGGATGTGCTGGCAAAGCGAGACCAGCTCCTCAGGGTTCCTGAGGGATTCAAGCTCGCTGGTCCAGAGCAAGGGTCGCTGCTTGACAGGAAGGAGTTCTCCTCCGCAGCAGCAGAAGCCACTTTCACCAAGTCCATGGAGCAGCTGGGATTCAGCATCAGCGTTTCTGCCAAAGCCGGATTCTGGGGGTTTAATGTTGAAGCTGGTGCAGATCACAGCAGCTCCTCGCAGTCGTCGCACACCCACCGGTCCCGCTTTGAGCAGAGCTACATTTGCACCACTAAGTACCAGTACATCCCTCTGGCCTCCTGCTACTTCCAAAAGCATCAGCTTCGCCTCTCGGATACGGCCCTGCGGGAGCTGCAAGACATCGAGCATCTTTTGAGCATCACTCAGGAAGCAGACAGGCCCGACATGCTGAAGAGCAGGTGTAAGAACTTCTTCAGCACGTTTGGGTCCCACGTAAACCAGGGTCCCCTCCACTTTGGGGGGATATTCTGGTGGAAGGCCTCTACGGAAGGCTTCAGAGCCGAGCAGCGGGAAGAGATGAAGCGACAAGCATCTGAAGCACTGAACTGCTACGTCAGGGCCAGCTACAGCAGCTTCAGTGTGGGAGTGGCCGTGGATGTTTCAAAATCCAGCTCCCAGGCTTCTTGTCAGGGAAGAGACGGAAGCAATGCCCACACAGTGGTTCAGCTCTATGTGACCAACACAGGGGGCCCGTCAGGGACGGACTGTCTTCCTCAGTGGAAAACAGGGCTTCTAACAAGTAACACAACCTGGTCTGTTATTGACCGAGGCTTTCAGCTGATCCCCGTGTGGGATGTAATCCTGTTCAATCACAGCAGTGATTTTAAGTCCGTCTATCAACTGAGCAGCAGCCTCAGGGCTGCGTACGAAGCGCTAACGAATCGCAGTGTCGGCGCCA